ATATGTATGTGTATATATGTGTGTATATATGTTTTTTTTTCATTTTGCCAAGTAGTGATTAAGATAACACAGGTGATACTGACGTGAAATGGGTTAAAACATATTTTAATGATCCCGTTCCTTGGAAGTGGTGTGTGTCTATGCGTGCATCGCATTACAAATATCATCATCATGTATTCACTCGGGAAGTATCTTTGCATTTTTTCTAACTTCATTGCGCTGCCGAGGACATGAAGTATTTGCTAGGAGGCAGTCACTGCACTGGGCATAGCTCTAAATGAAAGGCAACACAAAAAGTAGTTAATTACGGTACGGATGTTGAAGAGCAAGATGGGATGGTAAGAGATGCCCCAAGGGCAACTTTAGAGCCTCTGTTCACCGCATTGGGAGAAAGAAGGAGAGGATTCATAATGAAAATTCATAACTCATTTTGACTTGTATTAGAAGGCTTTTTGACAAAAGACAGAGACTGACGTAACATGAATATCTTCTTGAAGGCCCTGTGTCTGCCAGATACTAAACACTTTATTTCATTGTCTCCGTTTGGCTTCAAGCAGCCTTAGTGGCGGGGTTCGATGGCTCCTACCAGTAATACCAGCAATTTGGGAGGCCAGATTGGGAGGATTGCTTGAGGTCAGCAGTTTAATATCAGCCTGAGCAACATAGCAAGACCGCATCTCTACAAAAGATTTTTTAAAAAAAGACAGCCAGGTGTGGTAGTACACTCTTATAGTCCCAGCTACTCAGGAGGCTAAGGCAGCAGGATCCCTGGAGCCCAGGAGTTTCAGGCTGCAGTAAGCCATGATTGCACCACTACAGTTCAGCCTATGTGACAGAGTGAGACCCTGTCTCAAAAAGAAAAAAAAAAGGCAGCAGACTGATTAAGGAGCCTAAGTTTACAGTAATTGAGCATGCAGATTTACAGCAATTCAGTGGCCTTCAGAAAGCTGTGTAGCTCAAGGATGGGCCTGGTGGCTCACACTTGTAATCCCAGCAGTTTGGGAGGCCGAGTGAGGCAGATCACCTGAGATCAGGAGTTTGAGACCAGCCTGGCCAACACTGTGAAAGTCCACCTCCACTAAAAATACAAAAATTAGCTGGGCATTGTGGTGGGCACCTGTAATCCCAGCTACTTGGGAGGCTGAGGCAGGAGAATCACTTGAACACAGGAGGCAGAGGTTGCAGTGAGCTGAGATCACGCCATTGCACTCCAGCCTGGGCAACAGAACAAGACTCCATCTCAAAAAAAAAAAAAAAAGAGTCCTTTCAACATTGAATGGTTTTGGTTCTAACTCATTTGACCACATATACAAGGGTTTATTTCTGGACTTGATTCTATTCCATTGGTCTGTGTGTCTATCTTCATGCCCTATAAGTTCATTTTCAGCACTAGAAGGTTAGTTTCCATGACAGCAGGTGCCCTGCCTGGCTTTCCACAGCCCCACCCCTGGCACAGAGGGGCTCACTGAATTTCCAGTAGCTGACTAGCTTTCCCTTGTACAGCCCAGATGGACTTCCCTGCACGCCTCCAGCTTGTCCTGTGTTGGATATACCACCTCCACTGGGCAGTCTGTTAGGCTTTTCTTCCTTAGACTTCAGATGGGTCCTGCGTTCCCTCTCTCCAAACTCATCTCCATGTCTGCTGGATTAGTTTGACCTTGAGTAGCCCCGTTCCCTTTCTGTTCATAAGTGGTGCTTGTTCATCCAGCATTTGTCATTTGCTCACCCTTCTTCCAGGTGTCCTCCCTGCATCTATGTTCCGTCCTCCTCAGACCTGTGTCCACCAGAGTCTCACTGACTCCCACCTGCTTTCTGAGATTTCCTGCTTCACTTGAGTCCTGGCATCTCAGGGGCGTGTGAGGACAAAGGAGAGCTAAGCCTTGGGCTCTGTTCCAGCCTTGTGTAAGTCACATCGAAAGGCCATCCTGTTTTTTATTTTGTTTTGTTTCTGTCTCCAGTCTCATAAATAAGCCCTCTGTAATGGCAGGCAGGAAATCCAGAGGGCAGGAACACAGCATTACATCATCGCATTACCTACAGGGATGCATTTTCAAGGCCGGCAAACTCAATTAGCTTGTTGGTAATAGCAGTTCCAGCACCAGGACGCGTACGGCAGACTTCAGCATTCTGAAGGAGGACACGGAAGACAGATGACAGTGTGGTCCACCACGGATACCCGCCGGCAAACTAGCTCAGAGAGACAGCGCCATACCACACCATTGAAAGTGGTTTGCTTTCAGTAATTTTGGACTGCTACTTTTGATATATTTGAATCTTGAGAAATAGAATGCTATTTGTTAGCTTCACCCTCATTATTTGTTTCATCACCCATCCTTGAGCAAACTTTCCTTTCTTCTGCAGATTTTCACCTATTGTGCTGGATCCTTGTTAACTCCAATAGAGACGGCACTATGTCCCAGAAGCCAAAGAGGGGATCCGGAGCCAGTGAAGGTGACATAGTGTCAGCAGCAGGAGGCAGACACATTCCTAGGCAGACAGGGACAGGTCCCTGGTGAAATCCGACTTTCAAGCCAAAGACAGCTCAAAGCCTGAAAACTGAGCTACTACAGCCCAGGACTAGAGTGAGAGCTTCCTCAATGCCTTTTTAGCCAATTCAAATGATGCTTTTTCCAGGCGCACCTGTAGACCAATCAGCATGCACTCACCCATTCTGAGCCCACAAATACCCCAGATTCAGCCACGCATTGGGACTACCTGCCTTGGGGAAGAGGCTACTCACTTCGGATTCCCCTCCCATGTTGAGAGCTGTTACATTGCTCAATGAAACTCTTCTCCACCTTGCTCACTCTTGGATTGTCCACATAACCTTATTCTTGGTCACAGGACAAGAACCCAGAGCCTGCTGAACCACAGGAGTGAAAAGCGCTGTAATAGGTTCCTGGCTGGCCCGCCAAGCTTCAGGTAGTGACACGCTCTCATTTTCTGGACTACGAGGGAAGAGCGGTAACCCTTCTGGGGGCGCAGGCCTTGGGACTCTCTGAGCTGGAGCTGTGACATGCTGTAACACCCACTTAGGCCTCTGTGGTTGCTGGCATCTCTAAATTTTCAGGAACCAACACTAACCCCTCAACCAGATGCCAGCACCAAAGGTGGAAGCCACTTGAGGCACATCTGGTCCAGCCACAGCCTTGTATGGAGTTTGTGCCTGTGCTGGTGCCTGGAGCTGCCCACTCCGTCCCCGCAGCCAGCACACTTGGCTGTGCACCATGTCTGTGCCCCATGCTTGCTCGCTCACACACCCCTTACCATTCTGCACCTGGCTCACTCACAGTGAGTGTGGGATCTGGGCCGGTAGCAAGAGCTGAGCATAGCCAGCCCAGCACAGCCTGCCAGGCTGAGTGGACAGAGCCAGCCCAGCAGTCATGAGCAAAACTCGGGCAGAGGTGCTGCCAGCCACAGAGGTTTCCAGTTGGTGAAGCAGCACCCAAAGAATCCTGCATCAGTAGGGTTTATTGAGGACTCACAAATGGGGCAGTCCAGGAGTGGCAGGCTGGACAGGAGACTTGCTACCTTTTTCAAAAAGGTACGCAGGTTATAACGCTTTTTCACTTAGCAGCCTCCCCTTAGCAATCTCCATGTAACCCAAAACAAAGGGTCTCGAGCCCCTGCAGAGCCCACATTTCAAGGGATGGGCTGGGGATTCCGATGTTCTTCATAGATAAGGAGTGAACCTTCTTGTTGGCCACTTCTAGATCCCTTAGCTTAGAAGTTTGAGCACACATTTCCTTAGACCATAGTGTTATTCTCAGGCTGTGCTTAAAATACAAACACTTTTACACTGTTGGTGGGAGTGTAAATTAGTTCAACCATTGTGGAAGACAGTGTGGCGATTCCTCAAGGATCTAGAACCAGAAATACCATGTGACCCAGCAATCCCATTACTGGATATATACCCAAAGGACTATAAATCATTCTACTATAAGGACACATGCACATGAATGTTCATTGTAGCACTGTTTACAATAGCAAAGACTTGGAATCAACCCAAATGCCCATCGATGATAGACTGGACAGGGAAAATGTGGCACAAATACACCATGGAATACTATACAGCCATAAAAAAAGGACAAGTTCATCCCTTTGTAGGGACATGGATGAACCTGGAAACCATCATTCTCAGCAAACTAACACAAGAACAGAAAATCAAACACTGCAAGTTCTCACTCATAGGTGGGTGTTGAACAATGAGAACACAGGGACACAGGGAGGGGAGCATCACACACCAGGGTCTGTTAGGGGGGAACCAGGGGAGTGACAGCTGGAGAGTGGGGAGTTGGGGAGGGATAACATGGGGAGAAATGCCAGATATAGGTGATGGGGAGGAAGGCAGCAAACCACACTGCCACGTGTATACCTATGCAACAATCTTGCATGTTCCTCACATGTACCCCAGAACCTAAAGTGCAATAAAATATATATTTAAAAAAATATATTGCTCTCAAGTGTGTTTTCCATACACTAGCATTGAGACTAGGGAGGTTAGAACATTTACCCGCATACATTTAGCAAGTGGCCTTATCTCAGTCACTATCTATTCATTGTTCAGTCAATGAGGGAATGTGGTAGCTTACCGGGTCCGCAAGGGGCGTGGTTTCAAAGACAAGAACTTCCCCGCGACGAGCCTGACTGCCTTCCTTCCCATCTCCGTCTCCGTCTCCGTCCGGGAGCTAAGAGGTCTTTGTCTAACTTTCGCCCGCCAGGGAAGGTAGACGGGCCAGGTGAGCCGCTTTCGTTTAGAAAAGCCCGTCAAAAGCTATGGGCGGACTCTGGGCCAAACAGCCAATCAGGTGTCAGAATCCAAGATCAGTCATTCCAACGGACGTTTAAAGAAACTGCTCTCATAGGACGAGAACTTGAATGGGGCGGGAGTAAGCGCCAGATTAAAAGACCTCCCGCCCCGCACGTGCGCCGCGGCTTTCCGTTTCCGGGGTCCCCTCCCACAGCAGCGTGGGAGCTGGCTTTTCTCCGTCCCTCTCTACTTCTCTTTCTCTCTCTGCCTAAATAAACCATTTTCTGCAAAATTCTTTGGGTTCCATATTTACTTAAACGAGCTCACCGCGACGCTGGGATCCCCTCTCCATTCTTGGGTGAGAGATCAAGGGCCTGAAAGGAAAACACCTGATCGGGGAGGGAGCAAAGTCATTGTTCCTTCCCCCGCGTCCCGCAACCCCGCCGCAAAATCGTCAGCTGTGCCTATGTTTTGGTTAAGTCAGAGCAGACCCAAAAAAAAAAAAAAAAAAAAAAATCCTCATTCAGAAGCAATGGGGAAGGACAGATCACTGAAAAGTCAAAATAGCATACTATTTTAACCACAGTGTCATGAGAGCAGAGAATGTTTTAGTCGAACAGTTCTCAGAATTTAACTTGTCCAACCTTGTAATTTTACAGATGAGAAAACCAAGCGCCGTAGAAAGTTAAATTACGTCTGCCGGCCCCACGGCTCATTAGCACACGTGCAGAATGACTATGAATAAGCCGCAGTCCACTTACAGAAAAGCCGGTCTGGCAGAGTCTCTTCAGAGCTTGCTTTATCACCCGGAGATGAGGCGGATTTCAAAGCAGCACACAGTGGGCCTTCAGGTGCTGTCAGTGTTACTGAGGGGAGAGACCCCTCTTTCCTGTCTCTTGTCTCGGAGGAGGAGGAAGTAAAAGTTGAGACATAGCAGGCACGAGGCCAGTGGCAAGGTCGGCTGGCGCAGCTGACCAGGCCTGGAGGTTAAAGATAAAACCCCCCACCCCTAAGCACACTCCCATCTATAGATTGCAGGCATAAAATGGGGAAACGCCCTCCATCGTTCTCGCTCAATCGTGCTCAGACCAACACCTGGTCACGTACCCTACACCTACTCCATCGATCACGACCCTCTCACATGTACTTTCTGGAATTGTAAGCCCTTAAAAGGGCTAAGGATTTTCTTTGTCGGGGAGTTTGGTTCTTAAGATGCAAGTCTGCCAATGCTCCTAGCCAAATAAAGACACTTCCTTCTTTAAATCTGGAGTCCGGGAGGTTTGGTTTGCGGCTTGTGCTGCTGCATTGTTAGGGTATTTGCTTTTGTCTGCAAACTAAACAAGGCCTTCAGAATCTCAGTGAGCTATTTTCAATAAGGAGTTCCTTGTTTATAGTGCCAAGAGAAGTGTTGCTGTGCTGCTGAACATCAAAACTGTCACATTAGAGGCATTCAAATTCTTTTGCAGGAAGGTTATGTGAACCTGAAAATCTGAGGCAGGTCTCAGTTAATTTAGAAAGTTTGTTTTACCAGGGGTTGACAGCGCGCACCTGTGATGCAGCCACAGGAGGTCCTGATGACATGTGCCTAAGGTGGCTGGGGCACAGCTTGGCTTCATACATTTTAGGGAGACATGAGACATGAATCAATATGTGTAAGAAGCGCATTGGTTCAGTCCAGAAAGGTGAGGCAAAAGACTACTTGAAGTGGGAGAGGGCTTTCCCGTCACAGGTAGGTAAGAGACAAATGATTGGCAATCAGATATGCATTTATCTCAGTGAGCAGAGGGGTGACTGAATAGAATGGGAGGCAGGTTGGCCCTAAGCAGTTCCCAGCTTGACTTCCTTTTAGCTTAGTGATTTGGGGGGCCCACGATTTATTTTCTTTTCGCAATTACATCATACTTCTCTCAAAGCAATCTCCACTTCCCAGGCCTCTTTTGCCCTAAGATGCATTTTTCATCTCCTGTTTTTGGAACAAGAAGAGGAATTCTGTGTACAGAGGCCCTTATATCTTGGCTACCCACTATCCCTACTTCTATGCAGAATGCCTGTAAAAAGCATGTGGATTTGGGCATGTGTTCTAAATGCCTCATTAATCATGCATTTCTTTAAGAAGGATTCTAAAGAGCTCCGATTTGCTGGGTAGCATTCTCCTTCTCCCCTCAGGCGGACCAGCAAACGTGGAGTCTTGCAGTTCTTTCATCTATTTACAGCTCAGAGAAGCCACCCGGATGGGAATGATGGTGATGTGTGATTCCTAAGGAGAAATCACTCAAATTCATGAAGATTCTTCCTGTGCCTTTATAATGTAGGCACATCATTAAATGTACTTTGTCCCCAACACTTTGGAGGATGAGGCAGGTAGATCATGAGGTCAGGAATTCGAGACCAGATTGACCAACATGGTGAAACCCTGTGTCTATTTTAAAAAATACAAAAATTAGCCAGGTGTGGTGGTGCACGCCTGTAATCCCAGCTACTCAGGAGGCTGAGGCAGGAGAATCACTTGAACCCAGGAGGTGGACGTTGCAGTGAGCCGAGATTGCGCCACTGCCCTCCAGCCTGGGTGACAGAGTGAAACTCCATCTGAAAAAAAAAAAAAAAAAGTAATTTGTTGAAGCTATGCTAAAGTGTTGGACATTTCAGTAGATAATCAGAACAATAAACAGTCAAGATGGTTTACTAGTTATGGGACTCTTAATACTCTACTTGAATTTAGCAGAGTTTAGGGTATGTGTATGTTGTTGCTTCCTTCCTCCTCCCTCCCTCTCTTTCTCATTTTCTCTGTCTTTGTCTTTGTAATGAGACCATGCATGTTACTGGGAAATAGAATCAACTTGGAGACAGGCTGGGGTTCCCATCCAAGGTCATCATTCACAACTGAGTGACCCCATACACATTATGTGACTGTTCTGGCTGTTAGAAATTGAAGGATAACAATGAAGTAGAGAAAAAATTGTATCAGATTTATATTATAAATAAATGGATGATCAAATATAAATTGTATAAGATCATATACAAATGGATAGACGGATGGATGGATAAATGGATGGATAGATATATAGACAAATGGCTGGCTGGCTGGCTGGCTGGATGGATAGATGGATGAATAGATGAATGAATGGATAGATAAATGGATAGTTGGATGGATGAATGGATAAATGGATGGATCAGTGAACAGATGATAGATATATAGATGCATAAATGGATAGACAGACAGATGAATGGGTAGATGGATAGATGCTAGATAGATGAATAGAGTCCACAGAACAGTACATAATAGATCATAAACTTTCTTCATTCTCTTTTTTTTTTCTTTTTTAGTAATGAAGTCTCATTCTGTCACCCAAACTGGAGTGTACTACTGGTGTGATCATATCTCATTGCAACCTGGAACTCTTGAGCTCAAGCAGGTATCTGTCATCACGCTTGGCAGATTTTTTTTTAAATGTGTAGACACAGGGTTTTGCTGTGCTGCCCAGGCTGGTCTCAAACTTCTGGCCTCCAGTGATCCTCTCACCTTGGTCTCCCAAAGTGCTAGGATTACAGACATGAGCTACTATTCTTTCTTCAATAAAAATCTGTTTTATTGAGCACATTCTTTTTCCCACTTGCAAATGCTAGGGATATAACACTGAATAAAGCCAACAAACCCCTGCTGTTGTTGAATTGATATTCTAGTGAAGGAGCCAAACGTGAATCATAATACATAGAATACAACACCCATCATAGAAAGAAACAAGGCAGGGAAACAGGGCAAGAAGTGTGGCTGGGGAAGAGGTGTTTCCAACTGTAAATGGGTCATCAGGGAAGGATGCATGCAGACGATGGCGTTTGAATAGAGACCTTGAGTGCTGCTGGAGGGGGCAGCAGATATCCAGGGAAGAAGTATCCCTGGCGGGGGCCTACTGCAACACACAGTGATAACTTATATGTAAAGAGAAGCTATTCTGCCTTCTTGTGAATGGGATGAAGTCACAAAGCAGGAGCAGTGCTTTATTCCAATCTTTTTCCTGCTTTTCTTCCTCAGATGTTGGAGCACAGGGAATGAGCTGATCAGTGCCCCAGCTGCTGTGCTCAAAAATCTCCCAGTCACCATGTTTTCATGGTAAGGAAGGCCAAGCTTTCTCGACTGATTCTAGACTGAGTCCGGAGGCCTAGCTTTCCCGACTGGTTCTAGACTGAGTCCGGAGGCCAAGCTTTCCCGACTGGTTCTAGACTGAGTCCGGAGGCCAAGCTTTCCCGACTGATTCTAGACTGAGTCCGGAGGCCAAGCTTTCCCGACTGATTCTAGACTGAGTCGGGAGGCCGAGCTTTCCCTACTGCTCCCAGACAGCGACTGAGCGTGGCAGGATTCCCAGGCAAGACCGCTCCTGGGAAATGCACCACTCCTGTCATGGGCTCCCCATCAGCGTTGCAGAAACGTCTGCAGAACCTCACGCGAAGTCTTGTCCTCCCTGGCGTTCCCGTCTTTCCCTTCTCCACTGATGCTAGCCTTGCACTGAGGTCCGATGATTCCCCTGGACTCTGCTGAACCCCTTCCCAGTTTCCCTTGCAGGAGTTTTCTCTAATAAATCTCTTGCACCTCAGATCCAGACTTGGCATCTGCTTAGAATACCAGGAGTGACACAAGCACCATTGAGGAATGGAGCTTAATTCAGTAGGAGGGTCTTAAAATTTTTAGGAAAATTACATCAATTGAGGGGTAGCTGTTGGGGCATTCCTGATTAAAATATGATTTCTGGGCTCTGACTGGGTTGTATTTTAGTCTCGTGTTTTTCGGGTTTGGTCAGGGTACATTTACCTAGGTTGATGGTTAAACTCAGAGATGAGGGGTTGCTGATTTAATTGGAAATAGTTCTTAAAAGTGAGCATAGATGCATGACCATAAGTACCTACTGATTAATTGTTATGTCCTTCAAGCATGAATTAATTAACATCTTGTGGTTATTATGCCAGGCTGGAACAGCCAGCACTAACTACTGGACCTTTGAATGAGGCCAGCTTGGACCTTCTTATGCAACTGATACCCCATAAATTATAACCATGTGAGATATTGAAACTCTTGTGAACTACTGGTAGGAATGTAATCTGGTAGAGACTTTGTGGGAAACATTGTGGTGGTTCCCTGAAAGATTAAAAATAGAATTGGCCAGGCGTCATGGTTCGTGCCTGTTAATCCCAGCACTTTGGGAGGCCAAGGCAGGAGAATCACGAGGTCAGAAGTTCAAGACCAGCCTGACCAACATGGTGAAACCCCATCTCTACCAAAAATACAAAAATTAGCCAGTCATGGTGGCATGCACCTGTAATCCCACTGAGGCAAGAGAATAATTTCAATCCAGGAGGCGGAGGTTGCAGTAAGCTGAGATCGCACCACTGCATCCCAGCCTACGTGACAGAGTGAGTCTCCATCTAAAAAAA